TTATGTACCAAATGTACATACGCGCTTGCGCCCCACTTGAAGGGAGCTAGCAAAAGCGTTCTTCACAAGCCTTCACTGGCCCATGGAATACTTGGAAGTCCGTTTCCCGGACAGCACTTGCAACTGCGCAGCTGGAGGTATGGCCTGCTGCATTGCAGCAAACGTGGACACGTCGAGTCCAAATGAAACACATCCCTGCCCTCTAGCAGGTAGATCTCTGAAAAACGTCCAGTGTTTCGTTCGCACTGGATGCCAATCTCCTTGGCCTCTGGCCGCGCCGGCTTGAAGCTCAAGCCCCACTCAAAGCCATATGCTTCGTTGCCATCTTGAAGCACCACCACAACGCCGTGCCCTGCGTGATCAGCAAAATGCCGAAGGCCACAGCAAGGTCCGTGAAGATCCACTCGAATCCCCACTTGGTTTCTTCTTCTGCGTTGGGCTCTCCTGTCTTCATCTCCTCTGCACTCTGCAAGAGGGTCAGCAAAGCAACCATCAATGCTCGCTTGCTGAATCCACCGAAGGCGATGGAGTTGATGCTCTCGGTGGTCTTGTTGGTCTCCTGCTCAAAGGCCGTCTCCTCTTTCAAACCAATGCCCAGCTTCAGCCTGAGCTCATTAAACCTCTTCACTGCCAAAGCCTTCGTCCCGAAGTCTGCAGTGTTGTCTTGGCTTGGCCGAAGTCTGCAGTGTTGTCTTGGCTTGGCACTGCGTGCGAGCAAGCTGAACAGCTTTCAATGCAAGGCATCCTGCACCCACAATGACTTCACTTCCAGGCGCCGGATCCTCCCAACTCCTTGGCGCTGGAACACGCCTCGAGCTGCGCTGCTGTCGAGGTAGACCCCCATCTGGAGCGGGAGCCAATGAAGCTGAACACTTCCTTCATGAACAATCCCTCGCTGCACGCGGCGACGCCACCATTGAACTCAGCCTCTCCAGATGACAGGCACAGCATCTGGAGACTTCTGGCATAGCTGAAAAGCAAACAGCCGCCAATCTGAAACATTGCACAGGCACAGCTCTTCCTGGTCTTCTTGCAGTTGGCCCAGTCGGTGTCTGAGTACAGTTTGAGGATCTCAACCTCACCATCTTTGAGCAGCCACACGCCATAGTCCTTTGCGCCCTGCAGGTCGCGTGCCAAACCATGCAATTGTGAAGGCTCCCATCCGTTGGCTCCTTCATGTCCCGGGTCCTCTTCCCACGCAATTTGCATGGGTCTGACTTTTCATCTTGATCTTATCACGCAACTTCTTCTCGAGCTCCTCGAAAGCTGCCTTGGGCCCGGCGGCGTATAGAAGTCGTCCATATGCACTTCCATGAACACGCCGCTGGCTGCATTGTGGAACATCCAAAGCGCTGCTGGGTTCCTCTTGAAGTCGATCTCCTTGAGATGCCCAGCTGCCCACTCCACAAATGCTTGGCCAGCAATGCATCTTCCATACAATTTGGTATTGAGCTTCCACACCACCCGATCTGGTAGTTCACCTCCACAGTCAGCCATCTTCTTCAGCCATTCCTGTGGTGTCTGCTGTCAGAAAGCAGTAGCCCATCTTGATGCCCACAATGTCGATGACCCTTGACGTTGAGGTACTTGATGCCACCGCGAAGACGTCTGTACACCCCGCTTGAACTCTCTCACGCAGTCGCACAGAACCATCAGGCTTGCGGGTTCTGACCCACACGGCATCCAAGATCTTCACGCCGTCCTTCTGCTCAACCGGGTCATAGGTCTGGTACTTGTCCATCTTGCGGAATTCTTCAGCATCACCTTCATCCATCTCCTCCTTGGTCAGAGGCTTGCTCTCCTTAGCGTCTGAGCCCTAAAAGGCCTGGTCCACGTCATCCTCGCGCACGATGGTGTCTTCATCCCGCACCTTGAGGTAGTAGGAGTTGCAGTGGAGGTACAAGCAAATCTTGAAGTCCAGCTTGGGATGCGTCAGGAAAGGCTTCATTGGGTTCCTCATGTCAGCTGCAAAGCCATTCCTGCTCATCTTTCCTGCACTCAGGACATCCTTGCTGGCTTGTCCACTGACCTTGAACTCTGTCACGGCGTTCAGGTAGTTGTGACCCTCCCCGATGATCTTGTAGTTCACCTCCTTCCTGCCAAGTCGCCCTAGACATTGACCTGAGATGCCCATCAGCCTTGCCTCACTCTCCTCGCTGCGCATGTCACCACCAAACCTCGGCCTGCACAAGTGCTCATCACTGCCTGAGTCTGACAGCAAGTACTTGATCTTGTCATCTGTGGGCTGAGCTGCAAGCAAAATGCCAGTCAGTGGGCTTCTTGCTTTTGTGGATCATCATCACCCCCTTCTCATCATCGTACTCGTCCTCGATCACGAAGGAGTCCACGGCATCTGCCCAGTCCACTCGTTCACCTTTTCCTTCTCGCTTGGATTTCTCCTTGGCCAGCAGACGACAGTCTGCCTTCTTGTGGCCCCATTTACTTACAGTAGGAGCACTCGCCATTGAACTTCTTTGGAGGTGGTGGCTTTCCTTTCTTGTCGAACTTGCCACCCTTGTTGATGCCCTTCTCATTCTTTGACTTGCCACCTTTCTTGCCTTTCTCTGTAGGAGACTGCGCCCACGTCCATGGGTGCTGCACCACCATCATCCTTGCCCACCTCGCCCTTGGCGTAGTAGTATTGCCCTGCTTGTAGGAAATCTCGAGCAAACTTCTTGGCTCGCTCATAGTTCGTTCCAACCTGAGCTCCTGCAGTCCTCAAGGCCGATCTCAAAGACGTGCTTCATGAGGACTGCAATCTTGGTGGAATCCGAGACATGCTCCTTGGCCTGGATCTCATAGCGCCTTGTCAGCACCTCCCAGCTTTCCAGTGACTCGAGGAAATCACCTTCCTTCACCTTCTCCCAAGCTGGGCTATGATGCTCATCAACATGGCGGTGTGCCTGCCACCGACATCAGGCTTGTAGGCCTCACAAAGCGCCTTCCAACCCTGCAAGCCATTTCCATTCTCCACATTCATCAACACCTATAGGACTCGTCCATACGCTTTGAGGAGGTTGAACAGGATGATCGCCTTCTCCTGGGCATGCTGTCCCATGTCACCCATCACCAAGTCGCTGCAGCGGCTTGGATGAGGGCCTGGTAGCTGGTGTCCAGCAAGTTCAGGTAGCCTCTAGCCACAAACACCCAAGCTGCCCAATCTTCTTCTTTTCCTAAAAAACTCTTGAGCTTGCCAATGGCTCTTGTGTCAATCAGGCCACTGGCTCCAACCTGCTGAGCTGGTAGGGCTGGCTGTGCTTGTTGCTGCTGCTGAGCTTGATGAGGTAGAAGACCTGCTTCAGCTGCCGCCGGCAAGCTGTCACCCAGCGTGAAGGCACCTGGAGCGGTCAAAGGTGACGCATTACAACGATGAGGCTTTAGGCCGACCTACGCCACACGGTGGACTTACAAGGTGTCCTCCCCACAGGCGCCTCAGCGCAGGCCCTACCCTGGTTTACGGGGGACCTGGAGCTTGTTGCTCCGCTACCATGCAGAGCGGCAGCGCGCTTTTCCAAAGCCGAAAGGGGCTATATAGGTATCATGTCATGTACCAAATGTACATGCGCGCTTGCATCTATCCTATTACCTGTAACAGTTGATAATGATGGTTAGTAAAGGCCTTGTTCAAAAATGATGATACTTGTTTAACTTGTTTACAAACTGTTACACTTAATAGGACAAACCCAAAATATTGTATATTATGTAATTATTGTTGTTTTTTTTGTGTACATATATATATATATTCTTTGCAGTTTGCAGCGTTGAAACAGGTCTGCTACGACAAACGGTCCTTGAAGTCCGAGTCCTCCGAAACCGGCTCGAACCCGCTCTCGCCATCTCTCACCAGTTTCTTTTGAAATAGCACCAGGAAACAAATTGATATCAGGATGTACCAGGACACAAGTTCAGCTAGTCCACAGTCATCCATAGCCTATTTCTTGTCACAAATGACAAGTGTATCTAAAAGAGAATGTCGCATTTTGCATTGCAAAACCCGGAATCCTCCGCTTCGACACCCGAACAACCTGCCTTCATCAGCAGGACGCTGCTGTCCTGTGACGAATGGAAGCAACATGACAAACATGTGATGCAAATCTACTGAGGACCCGCAGATCCATGCAAATCCCATTTAGGGGTGTCTCAACCATCTCATGCCCCACACCCCACACCCCACACCGGAGCAGTCCTCCTTCCGGCAGAGCCAACACCTGGTGATGCCTGACAGCTGGGTAGCTCCAGCTCAAGGACGTTCTCGCTACAGAGAGAGAGAGAGAGAATTTGGTCTTCTTGTTACTAGTAGTAAGGCCAGGAGCGCCCCGCTCCTAGTAGCGACGCCCTTTGTTACTAGTAGCTTCTTGTTACTAGTAATGCCAGGAGCGCCACTAGTAGGGTCCTTGCTCCTAGTAGCGTCTTGATGGTCATGGGCATGGGCCACATGAATCAAGACTCTGTTGCACTCCCCCTGTGAGACGGCCACAAACGAACCGACCACGATCGATCACGAAAGTCTTCCACCCGAAAGATACTAGTTTCGAGCCTGTTCCACTGCACTGATCATTATGCTGTGGCTTGTTGGTTTGTTGTGGCTTTGTAAATCTTGGAGTGCTTTTGGAACTACTCCGAAGCCTCTTTTCCACACAAATCACGGTCATCCCACCCTACGAGTCGCCCCGGTCCACCGTCTCTTCTCCTCCCGTCTCTGAGCTCGCGGACGCCAAGTCGGCGACCTGTGAACGCGAGTTCTGCAGCGATGAATGGCATGGTCAGTCACTTGCATGATCTTCTTGTTCTTTTCGGATCTTCTCGGTGGCACCCTGTTTTCGAGCCATGGCAGGTTCAGACTCCACTCTCTTGTTCTTTGCAAGGTACTGCACACAGCACAGTTGAAAGTGACGCACGAAAAAACGGAAGCTACCTGAGTTCACGTCGTGTGACACTTGAACTTTTGAGCGGAGGGTTACAAACACTGTTACCTTTCCTAGTGTTTTCAGAGAATGAAACACATACCCATCACTCACTGTACAATACCGGCAGATGTGCAACATGTCATTCAGCTACAGCCACTATTCACTGTAACTAATTATGTACACGACCACGCCGGCAACGCCCTTGCTTCAGCTGCTTCGGGAAAGGTCGGACCCGGCTGGACATAGCTGGGACGGGTTGCCTGACCTGATCAGTGACTGGACCCGCCTCAAGTAGGGTAAGTTGGAGCCCGTAGCTTCTGAGAGCTATGAGGTCCATTGCAGTCTCAATTGACCAGACAGGCACGTTGATCTCCTCAAAGGAGACCCGATCCATTTGCTGGACCCCGAAGATCTTGAGCAACTCTCCAAGCTCTGCGTCGAAGTGCATTGGCACCGGGCTCAGCACTACAATCCACTGTGGCAGGTCTGGAGGATGGAAGACGTGGAGGTCCTGACACATGCAAGGCATGTTCACCAATGCATCCAACAGCATGGTTCTTCGAGCAAGGATTTGGAGAGAATCCAGGATTTGTTGCAGCACCAACTCCTGAAAGGAGATGCAGGTCATGTCATGCGGCCTAATCATACAGCACACGATCCAAATCAATGCCTTTGAGCATCTTTGGGCCAAAATAGTTCGGAATTCTACGATTGCATGAGAGCAGGGCATGAGTTGCATAATTAAGATACTCTACAACGCAATACAACGCATGCTGGAAAGGTCACAGTGCGATGCGAGCACACACAACCTTTCCAAAACCTAAGTCCGAGGTTTACCAATTAGGATCCCTCGCAGTGCCGGTTCATCAATCATGGATCGATCGAGCTATCCATGGACATAGCTTAGGCTTAACCCATCTGGTGCCTGTTCTTGCAGTGATTCAGCCAACCTGCGGTCTGCACCACCTCAGCAAACATGGAAGACCCCAGACAAAATTCACTCGGATGCCGAATCTTTTGAAAACAGTGGCCAAAGAAACAACATGTCCATGCCCACCAATTGAAGTTGATGAGAACAATGACCAGCTTGTCCAAAGTCGATAAGTGCGAAGCATCACAAAGCATCCGTGAAACCAAAGTGTTGTGAAACGCCTTCTTCAATCTTCTACCTTTCCCTAAGGATCTAAGTATATCTAAGTACCTTGTCAGAAGGTGATTGCAAACACTGTTATGTAGGTTTGAAGGGTTTAATTCATCGGTGTGTCCAACTTATCCCATACTTCTCGTTCTCGCCTTTCCAGAGTGTCGTCCCTTCTTTCCAAGCGGCTTTTGGCTCTCTGGGCTCCCAAGATAAGATTGTGCAGATTCTGACAGGTCACGGTGATCCGGACAGGAGATTAGGAGATCACACGTTCATGGCGCTTGAGAAATCGAAACGCCGATTCGCGCACTGGAACCGCTTCGGCCCGCTCCAGCCACAGCGTGTGAAGTACTGCTTCGTTCTTGGACAAGTACAAAAAGTGTGCAAAGATAACACATTGGCAGATCACGCAAGGGAGTTCACGCGCGCGCTAATTTAAATTTAGATGTATCACTTTTCTGATTTACAAATGAAATATTTTCATACAATGACATACAACAGACATACACATTCATGCACTTGTCATGCCTCTTGCAAAGCTGAATACAGGTGTTGAATCTGCTCGCCATCCTCTCACAAAGCTTGCTTCAAGCAGCGCAAAATAAATGTACGTATGAACATTGTCAAATGTGAACAGTCCTTCTTCATGTTGGCCACCCAGTCTTTGACTATGCCCAACCTTGGGTAAAAAAAAGGACACATCTAGACGCCGCTAGATGGTGCACAGTGGTGCATGACAGTTTCTAGGGTCAAAACAAGCTCACGGCCAAATTGGGCTCTTTTTCCTGGAAGAAGCAGCTGCAGCTTGATGCTTGCTGCTTTCTCTCAGAATCTCTCGTCTCAGGTCGTCCTGAATGGCCAACTTCAGGTCTGGCAGAATATTGCGACTGACCTTCGCACGAAGATGTCGGCGTTTCTGACCACTCAACGATGTGTGCTTCCGTGCGGTTTTTGAGGGACACAAATGCAAGCAAATCTAGGTCAAAAGAAGACAAACAATGCAAAAGCCTAGCATCAAAGCCTGTTGGGCAACTTGAGCATAGTTCGACACCACCGTTGCAGCTTTGGCAGACAGCTTGTTCGCCTCCCAGAAAAAACACCCGCAGAAAATATCGGATCAAAAATCGGAGAACTGCCGCCGGAAGTGGCACCGCGTGGCACCGCACCTCGTTGAAGGCCCGTCGAATGTTGTCCGAAAGATCCCTATCCTGCAGGAAGAATCATCAATCCTTTGCAGGTATGCCATGATATGCTGAGAATACCACGATTCCACTCACGATTCCAGGCTATGACTTCAAAAAGGAAGGTCTAAACCATGTTTAAAGGCTTCCGACGCCTTCCTGCCTACGCTGCCTACTTCATCGCGACTCCTGTGTGACCACGCGCCAAAAAGACTTTACGCGGCCCGGATGTTTTCGCAGGGTCCGCGTGGCGGAAGGCCAGGCACGCTACCTCCAAGGAGCTAGCAATGGAGACCTCATCAGCACAGCATGCGTGCGACGAGCGGCTCGGGCGTCGTCGCCGACCTGGAACTGTCCCGGACGGACGGACGGACGGATGCGAATGGCCATCCAATCTGGGCAAAATGGAGAGGCCTCACTTGAGGCGAAAGACTTTGCCTCATTCCACCGAAGCATCCCTTTATGAAGCCCCAGCCCCGTAAAGCAAAAGAACTGCTGCCACAGTGCCACAGTTTCTGTGGATCCAAATACGCCAAAAACGGACATTCAACGATGTAAAAAATACGGTCTTAGATAGGCATAGACCTGACAGTCGTCTCAGTGCATCTCAGTGCTGTCCCTCTGCCTGAAGCTTCAAGAGCTCGTTCAAGCAAAAGATGAGCTCCTGGCAGCTCCGACCAGGCTCCGCGGAGCCGTCAGGTCGTTTGGTCGTTTGGTCGAACGAAACGGAAAGGCCCTGGTGCCACCAAACTCCAAAGGCCCTGGTGCTCAAGGCCGTCTTATGAAATCGGAAACAGAACAGCACCTTTGTTGCAGGTTTCAATGGCTTTCCATGCCATGAAAAGATGTTGTAGGCAGGCCTGTTTCCTTGTAACTGAGCTCGATCTTCTCAAATTGATAATAGAGTGTTTTTACCCCATATCATCCAATATCAATAAGCCTATAAACCATCCGACACTGCTATTCCCTTGGCAGCTGCAAGTTGATTCACTGGTCCGAGAGCGGCGACTGGGAATCCCATGGCAACACAAGACGCCCCCATCTGACACTGCCATGTATCCTGATCCTCATCCTTCTCCTCTGTCAAGACGATGGGAACCTGCCAACGTTTTTGGAGGGTCAAATCGCTGCGGCCAAGCACCTGAGATGCAGCAGATAAGCCGCATGCGCATCGATTTCCAGCCGCATGCGCCTGCCCTTGATCTTGAGGGGATCCTTCTGATCCGGCTGATCCAGCAGAGACCTGGAACCGCGCTGAGGAAAATAATAGAATGTAACCACTTGGCAAAATGTTAACTCAAAAATGTCAACAGCACGTGTCTGAGAGGTGGTTCAGGAACATCATTCAATAGGACTTGGGAATTGTGTGAACGAGCTTCAATATTTATGGTTTCATAAGAATTCAACCGACCAGCCTTGCTACACATCATGCTGAATCTCAATGCTCCTTTCCAACAGCGCCAGGGGCTGTTTAAACCCACCCACCCGGCCTTGGCATTGGAGCCACCACTTCGGGTCGCCTCCATCCTTTGAGGATCACTTTCCTCACAGCGCTCGAGTCAGAACGGTTGGTCCAGTTCTCCGGAGAGAACATGACAGATACGACCGAGTCGTGTTCGCATGTCGAGTCTGTCGTAGTCTCCGCATGTCTGTGGCCTTCGCTGGCCGCTGATGTTCCGTTGAAGTCCAAAGTCTGTCTCCAAAACAACTGAAAAGGGAAAGGATTGTTGGAACGCAGAGTGGCGTGAACAAGTGTTAGCTCTTTTGTGCGTTTTGTGCTCAGCATGGCGTCCGTGCCATTCTCTGCTTCGCAAAGCTAAGGGATCCATTTGTATAGCTTAACTTTTATAGTTATTCAATGTCGTGTGCTTCTACATTGACCTCAAGGTTGTCGGATCACTTAGTCCTCTATACAGTCTTCCAACTATTCAAGACTTGCATCAGGATCAGGCGTCAGCAGCCATTTGGTGCGAACACCTTTCATTGCAGACTTGGCATCACTGAGCTCATCGTCCAGCTCGCTATCAAAGCCACGGTCGGCGAAAAAGGCTTGCAGGATTCGTTGGTCGTAGCGCGGAGGAAATCCACGGCTTCGCATCAGAGTTGAGGTGGCTTCCAGGTTGATGGGCTCCTCGACAAAGCTTTCGAAGCTGAGTTTCCCAGCATCTTTCAGCTTGAAGCTGGAAAGGGTGAAATCCTTACAGTATCCTTCTCGTCGCAAATAGTCCAAAAGTCGTTGACTGCCCTTAGCCAGATCGACTGAAGAGCCACCTTTGGGTAAAGGAGGCGATAAGGAAGGCCAACGACCTGAGAGTGGTGATGACATGTCCACGGGAGCCTTCGGATCATACGTATCGCCTTTGACCAGTCGAGGTCCTACTTCATCGCCCTGCAAGATCTTCCGATAGAGACGATTTCCCACATTCAAGCCGAACCGTTCTTGCTCTCCACGGCGTTTGATGCCATCCTGCAGAGTGCGAAACTGGACCTCGTTCAAAAAGGAGAAATACAAACGATTGGTGCGCGGATCTTTGGCCAGCAGCTGTGTCTGGTTCAAAAGTGCAGACAAGTCATAGGTGGCATAGCGCTCCTTGAACGCAGGAAATCCTTCACTGCGTTTCTTGTTGAAGCTGGTTTGGTATAAACCAGGTTTGCTGAAGGGGCCACCCCAATCCAGCGCCGCCTGGAAAAGGGTTGCTTCACTGCACATTTCGTCCAAGTTTGGGCAGCCGACCTGCACTAAGGTCCTTCTGGCCATTCTCAGCCTAAGGTGCGTCTTCTGATACCAGTACAACTACAATGCACCTTAATTAAGCAAACAAATGGATCCATGAGTAGCAGGAAAAACCTCAGAATTGCACTGTTTTCGCGGTCCTTCCGCCCTCCAACGCTCCGCCTCCTGCGTGGTCCGCAGCAAAATCACCGCTGTGGCCACTGGGATCTCGGGTGGCGCCCGCAGCGTCCGGTACGTGGGCCCCGCCACAGGCGTTTCGGCGGCAGCCGTTTCTCCGGAGAGGACGAGGGCGCCGGTGTGGAAAAGGCCGGAGCTGAGGAGATGCCTCTGACGGATAGCAGAACTATGCAGAACTGCCACTATATAGTTCATCAATGACCAGTGGACAAGAGTTTCAACGGCGGTCGTTGAGGATGTTGGAGGTTCGGGAGAAATCGAAAGCCAGTAAGTCCATCTGGTAAACTGACAACATGGATGAAGGCGAAGGAAGGTTTATTTTGTTTTTAAGAATTAAAGAAGGAAAGAAAGAAAGAAAGAAAGAAAGAACATAAACACATAAAACATGATTGGATTCCTGGTTCATTTTAGACGATCCTGCCAAACACTGTCAATGTCAGGATGTGAAGAACTTGTATTTTCCCTCAATCATCTTCCACCCGGAATTCAATCTGATGCCGATGCCAAAGGTAACTAGTAACTATATAGACTGAAACTTCTTTGCACATGTTGCCTCTCTTTAATCTGCAAGAAATACATATCATAGAACTAAATAGAACGCAAGCTGAACTCGCCTTTTCAATAGGCCCTTTGGTTGATGTGTGCATGTGGGACGGGTACAGTGTTGACGGTTACAGCGTCGACGGGTACAGTACAGTGTTAAAGGGTCTTGCAAGCATTGTAAAACCTTGCAAGAATGGTAGTGTTGACTGTTGATGGAAAAAGTACCTCGGATGACTCTCCATAAATAAAGAAATGTGGTTTTATCAAAAAAAAACATCTGGGAACTGCTGTGGTATGTGAACTGCCTGCGATTCCTCAGGTCTCCAAATGGGCCCAGAAATGTCCAGTCAAAGCGTGCTCCGTGCGAAAGGATCAACAGGAGACCCACGCGCAGCGCCCGCCGAAAACGCACCATGTGACGCGACAGGACATCCATACTTCGTTGGAGAAATGAAGAGAAACTGAAGACAAGTTGGTGTAAATCACATCGTGTCGTGACTGATCCGAACATTCTACTGGCCGCTCCAACTTTGACTCGAAACAAAAAAACATTCGTCATTCGTCATCCTTGAGCCAAAGGCTTTGGGATCCCTGTGGTCATCGGACGCGGCACTGGGTGGCCGACGGATCGGGCGCTGGGTGGCCGACGGATCGGGCGGAGAAGTCGCTGTGGACAGGGTGCTCCACCTGCGCTGCACTGCTGAGGCCCGGCTCATGCCATCGTTGTTGCCAAGAGAAAGGCCGCTGCTTAAAAAAAGAAAAGAAGCACTAGACGACGAGTGGCCCGAAAGCATTTTTCATCACGTAGGAAGTCAGAGTGCGAGTTATCTGTTAAGCGTGCAGTGTGAAGTGTTAAGTCGAGTGAGTTGAGGTAGTGTGTGGGTCTCTGTGTGTGTATCTATGTCCGTGTGTATATGAGTCTCTGTCTGTGTGTGTGTCCGAGTAAGTTGAGGCAGTGCGTGGGTCTCTGTGTGTGATGTGTGTGTGTATGAGTCCCTGTCTGTGTGTGTATGTCCATGTCTGCTGCTGGTGAAGGTCTTCACTGTACATATAGTGAACGAGTTAGCGCGCAGGCCTCCCAAACCCCCCACCAGCGGCCAAGCGGTGACAGCCCGGCTCATCGTCGTGAGCATTTGGGCTGCTGGTAAGGGGAGAAGCAGCGTGCGTGCCTCCAGGAAATCTCACTGAAAAAAGCAAGCTGGAATGAAGCGTACTAAAGTTGTACTACAAAGTCGCCAGTTCTTATCTTCCAGCTCCACAGATTGCTCCGCGTACTAAAGTTCTACTACCAAGTCGCCAGTTCTCATCTTCCAACTCCCCAGATACTCCACGTACTAAAGTTGTACTACCAAGTCGCCAGTTCTCATCTTCCAGCTCCCCAGCTACTTCGCGTACTAAAGTTGTACTACAAAGTCGCCAGTTCTCAGCTTCCAGCTCCACAGATTGCTCCGTACTCAAGTTGTACTACAAAGGCACAGTCTCCGCAGAGAGCTGCGCGCGCACCGAACAAATCGCACTCTCGCCTGCATCTCGCGCACTCGACACGCACGATCTCCGCAGAGGGTTGCGCGTGCGTCGGACGCATCGCACTCTCGCCTGCATTTCGCGCACTCGACACGCACGATCTCCGCAGAGGGTTGCGCGCGCGTCGGACGCATCGCACTCTCGCCTGCATTTCGCGCACTCGACACGCACAATCTCCGCAGAGGGTTGCGCGCGCACCGGACGCGCGGCACTCTCGCCTGCATTTCGCGCACTCGACACGCACGATCTCCGCAGAGGGTTGCGCGGGCATGGGACGCGCGGCACTCTCGCCTACATTTCGCGCACTCGACACGAGTTCACGATCTCCGCAGAGGGTTGCACGCGGACCGGACAAATCGCACTCTCGCCTGCATTTCGCGCACTCGACACGCACGATCTCCGCAGAGGGTTGCATTTTCGGTTGACGCTGTTCGTCCCACCCTCCGCCTTTAAGAGAGAATTTAGTGGGGAAATCATTAGGACATCTCCCGTGGTAGTTTTCCACACTTTTCCATACTCACACTTGCCTACTCATTGCATGCTTGCATACTCATTGCATGCTTGCATACTCATTGCATGCTTGCATACTCGTTGCATGCTTGCATACCCATCACTTGCATACTTACACTTGCATATTTTGACACTTGCATACTTTGCACTTGGATGCTTTCGCTCTTCCACTTACACTGGGGTACGTATAGCGTTCATGTTGTAGTGCAAGTGTGGTGGAAGTGTCGTCAGTGTGTAAGTGTCAGTGTCGAAGTGTCAGTGTTCAAGGGCTTTTCCGGAAGAACCCTTCGCAATGCTTTCGGGAACAACGCTTCGCGTTTCAAACGCGCGTAAAATTAGGGCCAGTCCGAAGTAATAAGGCAAAGACTATTGGAACTGTGGCTGCAGGAGTGCCACAGGAGACCTGATCAGTTGCACTTCTCAATCCGTCGAAAGATCGAAACATGTCTTCCTTCAGCAAAGACTGCCCCGGTAAGTAACTGTCCACTACATTCATGGACATTCGAAGAATGCTTTTGACCCCAACATTGTTCCAGTTTTAGGCCTGGTGCCTTCTGACTGCAACATGACCATTGAATAATGTTGAATCACTTGATCAACCGCCGAATGCTGAAGGATGATCTATGAAAGTGCCTGACAACGGCCCATTGGATTTCGCAGCCAGTCCTCTCTGCTGTGCACGCCTCTGAAACCACGGCCTTGTTTGGTGCCACCTTCAACGAACTCAGTTGCTTCAAAAGAATGAGGTTGACAAGGGCGCCTGTGGATGAAGTGGTGCAGGTACATGAGGTATTCCACCTCAATTCCAGCGCAAATGCATCTTGAACTCGTCTTACAGAAGAGACTTGTGACTTTAGTTGTATGTATATATATATTATATATAGTGCCTATAGTTGCTCACACAGCAAAGTCTGTCGGCTGAATTGGCTGGCAGATTTCGCATTCAGACATGAGGACCACGTGGAGCTTGCAAAAGAGCGAAAGCATTAGGCCACCTGCCTGCAACCCAGGGATGAACCATGCAGTCCTGAAAACAGCACCAATGAAAAGCATCAGCCCCCCCCCGCGGGTAATAAACACCGAGGACCGAGGGGTGCCAGGTAGAGAATTTGAGGCGCACAATAGTAAGTATATAAGAAGTTCCGTCTGGAGAACAAAGCAATGCTTGGACCAAGCAACATCTGCCATTACCAACACTCATTCTTGGTCAAGCCCCTAGTTGTACAACCAGAAAGCTTTCACCAAGACAGCAAACAAATGTTTGAGGACACTCACTGGATCCTACTGAATCCTACTCATACAGCAGCTCGCCAAACTCTTTGTGGCAATCAAAGGTGTCACTTTTGATGTCTGTAAGTTCTTTTTTGAATAATTTGGATCCTATTTTGTGCTTCCATCTGCTTTGTGGCAACCAAACGCTGCGGTTCATCCCTGTGTTCATCGCCCCGGTGCACGCGGTCCCGCGGTCGGTCTTCCCGGCCTCCAGTTTGAGGCGCTCTGCCGGATTCACCTTCAAGAGGCCTCGGACCATGTCCTGCTGCTTGACGGTGCTTTTTGACGTCTACTGTCAACGGTGGGCAGAAGATGGGGTCAGAGGTAAAGTCCGGATGTGAACGCTTCGGCAAGATTCTAACACAAAAACACAACACGTGCCAGTGCCCTTTGGTGTTTCAGACTAGTTAACATAAGTCCTAAAGTTGGAAGCTTCTGTTCTCTTCATTTGGCATAATTATTGGCCATATTGGCTCAAACAAATTCAAGAAACAAGCTTCAAGACTCTGGAAGGTTTTCCCCTTGGGATCAGTCTGTCAAGTGGCTCAAATGCCAGTCGTTTTTCAAACAAACGCACCCGAATTCTAGATTCAGGATTTGCAACGCCTGGCCAAGATTAACCGTTCCACTCAAATCAGGTGGATGTATCTCAATAAGACACCATATCATATCAGGTCTGTCAAAAACGCCCTGTCAAATAACTAAAAGTCAAAGGCCAGCTTGTGTCATTTGTCGAACATGATGTTCTTGAAGAAAACAATACAAAATGTTGAATGTGTTCTTTGTTCATATGAGCGATGTGCAAAACCTCTTATGTGTTGCAGTGTGCACTCTTCCCAACGTTATCGTTTTTTCTGTGAACCTTATCGTTCCTGAGGGTTTGGACACACCTAACAACATGTACTAAAACCATCTAAAACCTTGTCGGTCTATTTTTGTGAACCTGATCGTTCCTGAAGGTTTCCTTCACTTTACGTATTTAGTCTTCACTGTAGTGATGCTGCGTTCATCCGAGGTTTTGGCAGTTGCTCATATATGTGCTTGAATTGAAGGTGCACCTTGACTCTAGTTGACTCTAGTATGACTTACCCATGATAGTTCAAGCGGGCTGGTCTGTTGTTGAGGCAAATCCACTCACAAACGGTGACTCATCCAGCCGGCGAGACGGTCGCCTTCGCCTCCTCCGAGACGCGCTGCCACGCGGCCGACGTCATGCCTCGAGAAGTCGACAGCTCATGGTCTGAGCTTCTCGGGGTCACCCCTGGGACTACGTCACTAAAGTTCATAAATAAGGTGCGCTTTTGGCAGAAATATTTCAATAAGTGTTCAGCAATGCGCACTGCATT